TTGAAATACATCAAGGTGCAGTAGTTTTTGTTAACCAAATTACTTTTGATCTGAGATCATCCTCAGGAGTGAATTGCAAAAACAAACTTAATGCAACTTTGATTGTTGTGATGGTGAGCTTGGGTTAACAAAACTGATTAAATTACTGGAAAGGATTGTTATATAAATAGACATAATATGTTTATATTATTCAATGAAACATTGAATGAAGATATACTGCCTATATATATATATATATATATATATATATATATATATATATATATCCATATATCCAGGTATGATGTGAACGAATAGAATACAATTCCAATGTTTGTAATATTTAATTTAAGAGTGCTCAATACAGAGTAGAGCAATATTATTTATTTTAGGATATTACATAAAAAACTTGTAAAAATCGCTACACAATTGCAGTCGTGTTTCAATGTATATCAATGAAGTTGTGTAGCAATTTTTATGAGTTTTTGGTGGAATATCATACATATAAACTTTATTATAGGATATTACATTCAAACATGTAGCAAAACCCTACACAAATGCACTCATGTTTCAATGTTTATCAACACATCGAAACATGAGTGCATTTATGTAGCGGTTTTCTACATATTTGAATGTAATATCCTATAATAAATAATATTGCTCTACTATTGGATTGTATTGTTGCCTTCTTTTAAATTAATGTTACAAACACTGGAATTTATATTCAATTTGTTCTCATTTCACATTATATATATATATATATAAAAAGAGAGAAACCGCAAACAATTAAAGGAATCATTGAAACAATTATAACATGGAAAGAAATTCACATATTTTTTACGGACCTCATCAAGTATACGCAAAGTTAGCGAAGTGAGGAAGTGAGGTGGGAGAGAGGATATGAGTGTGTCATATGTATCATTTTAGTTTCCTATTTTAACCCCAGTGTGTCGGCTGGATGGTGCTCAAATCTAACGCGTCTCGTCTCTAGATAAAGGTGGTTAAGGGGTTAGCGATAAGGACTACATTAAGGAAGACGTTCCAACAACCCCAATAAATTACACGACAGGTTTCATTCAAATTCTAGATATTCTGCAGATTGCGTATGCATATGTGTGTGTGTATGTATATGTATGTATGTACGTATGCATATATGGGTGTGTGTATGTATGTGTATATGTGTATACGTATGGATGTGTAGATATATATGTGTGCGTATGAGTATATATGGATATGCAGATGTCCTTGTGTGTATATGTATATATGTAAGTATAAGTATACATAGAGATAGGTATGGAGACATGTGGATGTGCGTTTTCTCTGCAGGTGTATATGTGTAAAGATGGAAATATACATATATCGTTTCGTGTGTAGGTGTACATAGAAACTCATAGGCATATAAGACGATATAGGTATATGGTTACAAATAGGGGTTTAAGGCATGTGTAGATAAGAAAATGTAAAAGAAGGGCCTAATTTTCTGCTAGTCAAACGAATAAATGTCAACCTAACAAGCTATAAGATAAAAGTTTTAGTGGAAAAAGTACTAAATATAAATGGGATTACTCTTTCAATGTTCTGTCTATGGGTTTTTTCCAATCGACTGCTTCATAGAAAATACTCAAAACTCCACCGAATTTCAAATTAATTTCTTCGTAGAGTGTTTTTAAAATTTAGATATTTATCAAACCTTAACCTCCCAAATATGCACGTTAAAGTAACGCGAACTGACAGCGTCTAAGAATTTGAATGAAACCTGTCGTGTAATTTATTGGGGTTGTTGGAACGTCTTCCTTAATGTAGTCCTTATCGCTAACCTCTTAACCACCTTTATCTAGAGACGAGACGCGTTAGATTTGAGCAACATCCAGCCAACACACTGGGGTTAAAAAAGGAAACTAAAATGATACATATGACACACTCATATCCTCTCTCCCACCTCACTTCCTCACTTCGCTAACTTTGCGTATACTTGATGAGGTCCGTAAAAAACGTGTGAATTTCTTTCCATTTTTCATTTCAGCTTTTGGAAGTAAAGTCTGATGATCCAGAACCCTGTTAAAGGGGTTATGGTGAAATAGCTTATTACATGGAATCTTAACGTGGTCTGTTTTTTATTCAAAGATATCTGCTCTGAATTTTACATTGAGCTCTCTGGATATCATCCTCCTCAGGTCTACCCATACGGATTACCTAAATTTGCATAAACTATATATATATATATATATATATATATATATATATATGTGTATGTATCTATTTGTAGTGATGAATGTGTGTACACTTCTGTATGTATGTATTTTTATATATATATATATATATTATATTTGTGTACTCATGCATATGTAAGGATATATGCGATATTTATATATATTTATGGGTTTTCTTTTTTATATTTTTATACATTAGCTGGTTTCATTTTAAGTATTGCATTTTGCCTGGACATTTGAATTTGGCGCTTTTTTTTTGTGTGTGTATGCGTATATATATTTATTTTTTCTGTCCATTTCTATACATTGTCTTTTTTGTTCGTTGCCAAATATTTGTTTTCCTATTCTACCTCTATTAAATTTTATCTATTGAACCCTCTTTTTATCTATATATCTTTGCCCATGTAAGTAATATTTTAATAGTCTGTTTGAATTTGTTTACTAACACTTTCAAACTTGAATCTTTATATGTGTGTATATTTATTAATGTATGTGTGTATGATCATTTATATATGCCTTTCAATGTATGTTGTCTGGGTTTTTTTTAGGGTCGTGGGCATCGATTTCCTGTTTCGTTAGTGTTTTTGCATTTTTATATATCACCACTTCAAATATATCTAAGTTGTAATGAAATTTTACATCCACATCAGATTTTAACCTTTGAGTTTTGGCCTTTCAATTAAATTAAAATAAATAATAAAATATGAATTTTTCCTTAGTTTTTTCTTTAAATAATTCTATATTTTAAATTTAATACAGATTAAATTTAAAAATTGGTAATTTTTAATTTTATAGTAATATTAATTATTTAGAATGATTTCTATTTTAGTCTAATCCTAACATTAAAGCATTAATTATTATAACCAAAGTTCGTTGTCAGGTTTTTGGAATTCTCATTTACTTGTATTTGATTGATTTGAACCTTTTAAAACTCTTTATTCTACATTCAACACCATCACTTGATAAGACATCAGAAGTGTTGAAACAAAATGGCTTTGTATATCCATATGAAAAGTGATTTTGTAAAATATTTGTTATAATTTTCAAATAAATTATATAGATATATATATATATATATATATATATAAAATGTGTGTAAAAGATATTACACATTGAGTGCTGGTGTTAATGAATTAGTGTTCAATGTAATATAACAGAGTTATTACATATATATTAATAAATACACATTTTTTTTTTCCCCTCACTGGTAACACTTCATGCACAGTGCAATCTTCAGGTGCTGACCAGTCCATCATTTTAATAAATATTATCTGGGTAATGCAATGTTACCACAGTCCATATATTATATGGGGGACTACCTTTTTTTTTTTTAAGAAGAGTAGAATTCTTTCATATCTATTTGTATAAATAGGTAATTAAATTTTATTTTTGAGGTTGTTTTTGTATTTTCCATTGATTTACTCCTCACTTCTTCCTTAGCTCTGAACTAATTCTTTCTAGTATTGTTTTACTTATTTTACCTCGTTCTCTTTTGGTAGGATTTATGTGTCTGCATGCTGCGGTTGTCCTGAAATTATCCTTATGGTCTTTTATAGTGTGATGAATGCGTGTGTCTTAGTGATGCAATTTATTTGGTCCTTTAGATCTAACCTTTGGGCAAATGTCTTTTAGCTTTTACATATTAATATCATATTCTCTATCTTTAGTTATGTTGTTCTTGAATAGTTTTTGGGAGCTTAGTTTGTATGAATTTCTAGCTTTTTTTCTGCTGCAATAAACATGTTAGGTGAATTGTTTATTTTGTTATGTTCTTTTAGTTTTTTTTTCTGGAGGGCATCTAATTGTTTATGAAATTTTGTGTTTTTTTTACTAAGTTAGTCAAGTCTTTCTCAAAGTCTTCTAGTTCTTTGTGTTGTGGGGGGGGGGCATTGTTTTTGTTTTAAGTCATATTTTCCCTTCATTGTACTATTTGTGTTGTTGGTTTAAAAATAAATGCACTTTCCATCTCTTTCTTTTTTTGGAGGTGGGGTGGCAATTGTTTAGGTTCCATATTAATATTGTGTTCTGTATGTTTAGTTATGTTGTCCATGAGTAGTTTGTGTAAACTTCTAGTTTTGCCTGCTGCAATAAGTAAGTTTTCTATTAATTTTGTAGATGAATGGTGATGAGATGGGTCTTTTTTTTTTTCTTTTTTTTTTTTTTTTTTAAGGAAATAGAATCTAAACTTTTCTATAGGTTTGCAGGTGAAATTGATTGTATATTCTATCCTGTCAACAGTGTAGTGTTGTGTCATGTGGGTGTATTAATACGACATTGTCAATGTATTGGAAATAATTATTCTGAAGTGGGGGCCCAGATTCTAAAAAGTTCTAGGAAGAGGCATGCCAGTATTTCACCAAGTGGTGAGCCCATTGGTAGGCCAAATTTCTATTGAAATATAAGCATTCCTTTTGAAAAACATGAAAAAAATGTTAGGGTCCCAACTTCAAATGTTTCTATTTCCTCAGGAAACACCCATTTTGAAAAATCACTGTGAAACGGTTTCATAATGGGTAAAGAATCAAAAAATATTATATGGTGTGTGTGTGTGCGCATCAAGTAATTGGAACGTATATCTGAAAGAAAACAATGTTCTACTGAATGTGTTACTCACCAGTTATTTTAGAATACTAACTGAGGTCAAAATCCATTGTTTTTCACAATGTATTCTCAAGAGAGAGATTTATTTTCTGCTAGTGTTTCAAAAGATATGTTCCTAAGTTCAATTTCAGCCAAAACAATAAATTCCAAAAACCACTACATGATGTCACATGTTAAACTTTTTCAATGTCTTTTTTTTTTTTTTTTCAGAGCTTCAATGTTGAACCCCAAATATACTGTGATCTTGTCTACCGAAAACATCATTTGAATTTATGAACAACAAAAGAAAGCAATATGAGAAACAGGAAAGAAAAAAAACATTTTTTCTCCTGGTTAAAAAGGAAGGAGAAAGAAACCATAGTTTAAAAAAAGAAAAAAGAAAAAGAAAAAAGAAAAAGAAAAAACTTTGGTTTTATTGCCTGACACCCCCCCCCACCTCCATTCAACTTTTCAATTTTAATCATTTGTAGGCAACAGTGCCCCTGAAGATGCAGGTTTGTCCACAGAAAGTTTGAAATTAAGTGAAAGAGAAGTAATTATTTAAATTCAAATTAACTTTATTCTTGCCAATCTTGGAATTTGCATTTCATTGTCTTAATGGTAAAGAGATAATTTTCAAGCTCGGAATAATGGTTTTGAGCTGATTTTTCAGTTCACTAACCTACAGGCGGGTGGGGTGTTGATTGTGTTTGTTCCGTTCTCTATGTCTAGGAATATGTGTTCTTATTTAAAGTACTGCTCAGTCATTGTCCACCCTGTTTCCGCTAAGTTTAAACTACCTGACCCAGGGATTGAACTACTAATTACTATGACACTAAATTCATGAAAACCATTACTTTGATCTATTGCCCCCTGATTTGTAAAATAAAGGGTTCAGTTTGAAACTCCCTGAATGTTACCCAGATTGACAGACATCTTAAAGAGGACACAACAGTTTAAAAGTTGTTATAACAACAACAACAAATACGAGGATATTAGTCCCGATGGAAATAACAAGCAAGCATTTTAAATAGATGCTGCTGCTGCTTCTGAAGGTCGTGCAAGCACATCAGACTTATTTTAATGATACTGTGGAAACAAAAGACATTTTGTCTGCTAGCCACACAGATGATGCTAGACCAATTGAAATATGATACTATATTTTGATGCTTATGAGATGCTTCGCTACATTCGACTGTTATCTATTCTACATATCTTCATAATATGTCGCTCTTGCTCCCTCCCTGTGTACACCCTTACAACAACCTCATTTATTAATCCTCTACCTTGTGTGGCTTTTTGGCTTTGTATTGGGCGAACAATAGTTAAAAAAAAAAATTTCTGAAATCAGTTTAAAAACTGTTAAGACAAGTCAAATATTGAGACTTGCTGTCACATGATCTCCAGCAATCACCACCAACTGTGTCTGGTGTGAAATTTCAATAGATAAACATGTTCAGGTACAAGGGGAACCTTCAAGATCTGTCTCTGAGATGAGATATTTACACTGCATCATTTGAACTTTTGTCTTCATCTTTATTGCCATATTCACAATGTTTCAGCCATTGTATACATTGGAATTTTGAAGCATAGGATATGGAGCTAGAACAATCTCCCTCCCCGTGGACTAAATAAAGGGATGTTGTTTGAAATTACCTGAAGAAGCTCAGAGAAATGCAACGGCCGAAATGTTGTGAATGCAATAAAGATGACAACAGTTTGAACAATGTAAATAGTGTAAAAAGTGAACCTTATTATTATTAATAATCTCAATTTGAGCTGATGGCATTTATTTGTGTTCATTGTACTGGATTTTAATCATCATTTACGGTTTCCTTTTTAAAATCAAGTCACCACAAGTAAAGCTAAGATACAAGTGGTTACTGGAAGTGAAAGAGAATGAGAAGATTTTGAAGGAACTGGAAACCCAATCCTAAACAGGAAAGAACAGGTAAACCTCTTCTTATGGTCAAAAGAATGGAAAGGAGTGTAAACCAGACAATAGACGAATCTATTTCTATTGACTTAATTCCTGTTCTTCTATTAGCCTCTCTTCTTAATGTTTGTTTTTTTTTTTTTTTTCTTGGATTCTTTCACATCGAGTAACCCTTTGCATCTTAGTGGCTATGTTGCCTTGCTTGGAGTGAAATGATTAAAAAAAAGAAATATGGCAATTTAATGGATAATTTGCTAATAGTGTATAAGAGAATGAGATTACTGGTTGACTCTTAAAATGCTCTTCTTACATTTTCATCTCAACCCCATCTTCAATCAAATAAGTGTGGCTACCATTAGTGGTAATATTAGCCGTTTCCTTATAAGGAAACATTTGGCATTCATTGACTGAGCAACCAGTACTGTTTTCAGTTGAAATTATAAAATCTTGCTCTTACAATTTTCTCAAGAAAATAGGTTTCTCAAGTCCAGTAGCTGTTATCACTCTTTCCAGTACTGAATTGTGGCTTCCTTCTATTTGATGTGTGGAACGTCAACATCTTGAAGAGAAAATAATGACATAATCAAGTTACATGGTAGTCATCAAGTAATGTGGTTTCTGTTATTTGCTACAGTTCTTTGTGATTCTGTAGCACCAGTCCACAATGCTTGAAGAAGGACAATCTTTGCCAAGACCCTCAGAATAAAATCAAATACATAGAGTTAAACCGTGTAGGCTATATAAGGGAGTGAATTTTTAAAAAAACGTCTATTGAAATGTCTGTCAGAATTTTGGTAAAGAGATAGCAACATTGAAGAGACAAGATTTATGCAAAGGAATAGGTATGCAATTGACAGTAGCAGAATTATAACATGATACTAAGATCAATGGTGAAAAAAAGGCTTTGAGCAAGTAAATTATTGTTGTCTTTTTCTACAGTTCCTTGTGATTGTGTAGTGCCAGTTCACAATGTTTAAGGAAGAATAACCCTCAGGATTTACTCAAAGCCTTTTTTTCACCATTGATCTTAAATAACCCTAAACTGCCAGTTGGAGACCTAAGTCCAGATAAAGTCAACCCATGGAAACAGAATAAAATCAAATACATAGAAAGAGTTAAACCTTGTAGGCTATATAAGGGAGAGAATTTAAAAAAGAAAAGTCTATTGGAATGTCTGTCAGAGTCTTGGCAAAGAGGTAGCAACACTGAAGAGCCAAGATTTATGCAATGAACTAGCATCATGTTATAATTCTGCTTCTTTCTTCATTAGTCGGTAAGTTAGCACATGCATTACACCCTGTTGTTGCCTCAGATAAATAGTAGACCATGCAGTTTTGACTGCTAGGAAAGACATAATAGACCATGCAGTTTTGACTGCTAGGAAAGACATAATAGACCATGCAGTTTTGACTGCTAGGAAAGACATAAGAAAAAGATATATCAGAGACATTGTTCAGTTTTAGCAAGGGGGGAAATAAAAAAAGGGGAAGATGGTGGAGGTGATAATGCTTTCATTTCACATCTGTTTTACCAAAATAGAAAACCTTGTCAATTTTAAATCTTTTCATTTTGTACCCTCTTTCTTCTTTAAATAACAACATGCATTATGATTGTTATTGCAATATTTTCTTATTAAAGACATTAAGCTCAGATATTTGACAATACAAAATTGGAATTCACAAGGAGCTTATTCAATCATTAACTTAAGAATTCATTAGAAAATTCAAATGGGGAAGAAAACAGTGACATTTACATGAGTGCTCTTACGTAGATTATGTCTAGTAAAATGATGTCATAAGAAATGTAAACTCATTTAAGGGTAGGTGAATTATTATTGTCAAGGCACAGAATCACAAATGCAGAGGTTTCACAGTTCTTTCCTTGCGCAACTCAAATCTAGGCACAAGGTTAAATTAATAGAGCACCCAGTAAGATTTGCAAGATTAGATTTCTGATTATGCTGGATAAGCAATACAAGTAAAACAATTTTATCCTGAAGAAAAAAAAAAAAAAACCCTGCAAAAATGTAAATAATCTAAAAAATTCAGGAAAATGAATTATCTTCTTTTTCAATGTAGATGGCTAATTAACATTTTTGCTGAGAATTAAAGTGTAGTATCTGTGCAAAGTGGAGTAGGTGAGTTGAAATATTCTTGGCCTGACCAAGAAGGGAATACCCAAAAAACTTGTTCAGATTTAAGGAAGTGGGTGAAACCAAGAACTTTTCAGCAACCTTTTAGAAGATTATCTATGTATATATTTCTAAAGATTTAATGAATTTATTTTTAATCTGATATTTTTTGACACGCACAGGAAATGTTGTAAAGTGCACATTGTAATAACAGCAATTGTAAGTATAGACATAGGAATCAACAATGCATGGTGACTGTCGTAATTCTATTACCATATATATATATATATATATATATATATATATATATATATATATGTGTGTGTGTGTGTATTTGAGCAGCAATCCCACTTTTATACAAGTTTCATTAAAGATGACTGACCAGGTACTGTAATTAAGCTTTTTATTTAATTTTTCTTGTGTTCATAGAAGTGTTTTCTTTTCTGGATATAAAGTTTGTAAAAACTGTCATCCACTACATGCCTATTTAGATGACTCTTGTTACACTTATCTGACCATAGCTCGATTAGGACTCATTTAAACACACACAGAAACCTGCCATCCGCAACATACTAGTAGAAAATACAAGTATAATAGCTTCATTCATATTTTAAAAATAGACAAAAATAATGGAAGCACTCAATAACATTAACTATGAACACTGCCACAACATGCTGACCGTGTTTTGAAAATAAAACATTCCCATAACTTTAAATACACAAAAAAAAAAACAAAAACAAACACACATTTAGTTAAAAATAAAAATCACCCTAAAGAATAGCTGAAAGCACTCTGATATACAGAACTTTGAAAGTTTTTACACACTTTATGCCCTGAAAAGAAAACATTTATACAAACACAAATACTTTGTCAGTCATCTTTAACAAAACACACACACACATATATATATATATATATATATATATATATTATATATATAGCAATCCTTCTTTCATGCACATTTCATTGAAAATGACAGACAAGTTTTTTTTATACAATCTCTCATGCGATCTAATAATTTTTTTTCTTTTCAGATGATAAATTATATAAAAACTGTCTGAATGTTCTTTTTTGATCCGAGCACTTTCGGCTATACAATTAGCCATTTTCATGGATTATATTTTAACTGTGAAAATTAAAAATAGTTTGTTGTATGTATGTTTTTTATTTATATAGTTTTCACAACATCGCCCATGTGATGACGACGTGATCATATTTTAAACGGAACGC